ATCCTAAAACATCTTCATCTAAGTTTTCCTCAATCTCGATTAAATCTTGATGGATTTCTGGAACTGGTCGCGTCTCGGATGACAATGGTCCGACAGGATTGAATGTACCGTCAACCATCCAGCCGCAGTGTTCAAATACTCGGGCCATACTGACCCTTTCAAAGCGCCGGAACGTCTCCACGATGAAAGGAATCAAATCACGATCATTGGACTCCACGTAGAAGCGCTGGAACGCCTTCTTCACGTAGCCAAACAGAAATTCAATAGGATTGAAAAACGGGCAATAACCAGGAAGAAAAATCGGTACAATTCCAATGCTTCTAAGATAGTGCACGATTTCAGGATGAACCATTGCAGAAACCTCCAACTCTTCATCACCGATTCAGGTCCGTAACCAACGCTAGTCGCCACGTCGGGGGTCATTTTCGACTGGATGAAGTCGAGCTGTTGATTAAACTTTGACGCTTTTTTGGACCCAAGGGCAAGGCCATGGCGAAAGAGTCGAAAATATCGCGACCCCACCACCCAGATACTATTCTTGCCGAGTAAAGTCGCCGTAATTCGTTGATGGTGTCTCGTCAGATCTGCAACCTCGACACGCAGTTGCTCGTTGGTCTTCTCTATGTCAATGATCCAGCTGTTTTGTTTCTTGCGGAATCGCCTTTGGTTCTCTCGGCACTTCTGACGATGTATGTCTTGACCAAGTCGAATCAACTCAATAATCTCGGCGTGATCCATGCCTTTCTTAAGCGGAACGTTGGCTGCTCGCTCGACCTCAGGATTGTATTCACCAGCGCATCGAAAGAGCTTGGCGTTCGTAGGGTTCGAGTTTCCCCACAGCTTCCTCTCGCCTGTTCGTCCGTCGATTCGATGCATTGCCACTTTTAATGGGAACTGGAGATCGTTGTGTGTCCTTGGCAACGTCAAACACAAAATGAGATACCTTCGACGCGTTGAACTGATAGATAAGTGACGTCAAAAAAAGGTATGACGAGTCTAGTAATCTAGGGAAAGAGACGCGTTGATTAGTCACATTGCAGCTTCGTCCACGCTGTCATCACGAGCCACGTGATTGTTAAATAGGCTGCAATCAACATTTTCGTGAGTCTTGCTCTCTCATTCAATATTTTCATATGTACTTTTTTAATTTAATAAATCCCACAATCCTGTGTGTTCGATGTCATCACGAGTCACGTGATTGCTTCAGGGTCTGTAATCAACTACTTGCGTGAGGACATCAAGAGAGATCCAGTGGTTCTCATTTAACATTAATATACCGGGTCTGAACACACGATCACGAGAACTGTGTACACGTCTTGTGCTTGAGTAGGATGCTACAGTAGTGAAAGTTACACAAAAACCTACAGTTTAATTCTTTCAGCAATAATAGATATCGACGGTGCTTCAGCTACTGAGTATGTTCAAATTAGTCCGTTTGGCCGACATCCACACTTTCACACTGGCAGTAAATGCAATGAGACCTAACTGAAGAGTTACACTGTCTGGACAAAGTTCTTCTATCAATTTTCCCGAGATCGGGTCGTGCACCAGCGCACTAAACTACGACCTCTGATACGACATCACTGGAGGTGCGTTGAGGTTCCTGTCCATCGTTGCCTTTATTGGGTGCAAGTACCGTCGCTATGTTTCCAGCGACCACGTGGTGTGGCTCTCCCAGCAGTAGTGACACCATGGACCCACCGTCCGCGAATGAGGCTGGCGGCATCACCGCAGCCGTCGATGCCAACATAGAGAACGTGGCGCATTCACGCTGGTTACATGCGTCTCCACCTGACCGAGTCGATTTACGTTTCTTCCGATACGTACTTGGTGTTCCTCCTCCGTGGCCCCTACACTTCCCTTTCGACGCAACCTTCTTGTCGCATCCTGGATTAGAGCAAACTCTTCTTCCACCATGACCAGCGCACAATCCCTTGAACTGAGCCTGTTTGTCGCATCCGTCATGCGAACACATGCCATTTCTAGTATGCGTTCGACACTTGCCTTTGGTTTGGGCTTTGTTGAGGCAACCAGAGTGAGAGCACTGGGCGCCTCCGTGGGAAGGCCGACCGATCTTCTTGGACTTGGTATATATGCTGGACGGCGAGCGCTTTGTTCCTTTGGCTTCCCCCGTGTCAGCAACTGTCATTCGTGACTCTTCTGAAGCCTGCGTCGACGTAGCTTCGTCTCGATCTCTTCCGGCAATTACTTACTTGGTCTCCTCGCCGGTGATGCTCGTCTGAAGCTTTGTCTCCACATGCCTCTACTGTACTCGTCTTCAAGTCCTGAAGTCTCCTTTTCTATTTTATTAAATTGATTATTAATTACTTTGATTTTACATCATGCAAGCTTGCTCACATGTCAATATCCCTTCGACGCGGAAAAGATACTATAACTGAGAAACACCAGGGACCTGATACCGTGCTCCACTTCAACATCTGAGTGCTTATAACCGCTCTCATTTGATGCAAGCTAAGCGAGATCGCCGATACTATGGTGGGCTCAGAGCACCAAGTAAGCATATCTTCAGTTTTGTTTGTCGGTACCATCCCCAGTGTAACTTGCTAAGGCTCTAGCACGTCGTCCAAACAAATACGCAACACTTCAATGTCACCCGTTTGGGGGGCAGATTGATCAGCAAGACGCACAAAAACGGTCATCAGGAATAGCACAACAGGCACCGGACCGTCATGACGTTTTCCAGCGAAAAATAGCCAACGTTATTCAGTCACCATGTACTGAAACTTCTTCCA